TATTTCCGTACTTCAGAGGCTTTTTCCGGTTTTCTTTGGAGTTTATGCTGTCGTATTTTAGATATTCTTGCATTTCTTTTCGATGGAACATCTTCTTTTTTCACAACTTGTAAGGGATAGCGCTAATTCTTTCCGGACTTCAGTAATGGTAATTTTCTGCTTCATAATATCTTTGCATAGAATGTAACTATTTACAAAACAGACTTGGAGCGTAACGTGTTGAATGAATGCCTATAGGAATCACGTTCCAAACGTAAACTATCTTCTACTGCCCTACAGAGCCAGCGCTTTTAAGCAGCACGCGTCGCCTGAACGGGATTGCCTAAGAAATACGCTTGGCGCTCAACGTGTTAATTCGAAATAGGTCACAACTTAAAGTTTACCAATTAACAGTTGAAAACCTAGGTCTGATAGGATAATCTTACCCTAACAGGTCAGATTAATTACATCAAAATACAAACACATTTTTCTTTCGGAAAGGTACCTTTAGGGAAACCTATTAACGGGCTGGCCTTTACTTACGAACACGACATTTCAGGCCACGAAATCCTGACCTGCGTAAATTATAGTTCCCCCCCCCATTAAAATGTAGCAAATTTGTTGTAAGCGCAAGTCATGGCTTAAGTTTGTGAGAAAACAGAGTGCTCCTCTGTGAATGGTCTTGTGGTGTAAGTGGTCAACACGTCGACCAAGCACACGGAAGACCCGCGATTCGAATCTTCACGCGCGTATAATTGATTTTTACTGATTTCTGGTCTGAAAAGTGTTGATTTGCATTCCTAACATCCTGCCTGATGACTTGAAAAGCATCCAGTATTTGCTCAAAATTTCTTTCGAAAAAAAAAAAGCATTAATCATCCCACTAATGGGCAAATTAAAAGATCCGTAGCCTACTGCATGTTAGTCAAAACGCTCATTAACGACTTAGACATCCCGCGAATAATCAAACATCATTCTCATGGTTTTATTCATGCTTCTCTAGCAAATTTAAAATAGGCGCAGATGATATATTGCCCGAACAGTTGGTTTTCTTGCTTCTTGTCTTCAAATTGTAAAAATAAAATCAAATATCAAACTGTAATGTTGCGCGCTTCCAACCTGCACGCAACAATAGTGGTGACTGCTATGAACTGGAAAGTAGACAAAGTCTTGAGAAGGGTTTAAATCCCTTTTTATTCAACTTTAGAAATTACAGATGCGTGCTCTTGACGCTCACAAACTACGCCGACCCGGCGGTAAAATAAAAATAAGAAACTAAAAATGAATAAGAACAAGTGACTACCTACGAGGCTCTCTAAACGTAACTAACCCAACCGCGTTCTAAAATACCGCTGATAATTCAGCAAACTTCTGAATTTTACGTTGAAAGATTTAACTATCTACCGAGGCAAGCACACAGGCCGAAATGCGTGGTTCTTCAATTTCTAACTAGCCACCTACACGCTCGTGAAGCAAGAAAAGCACACTTTCGAACTCGTTTCCCATCTATTTAACTCATATTACTTCCGCTGACAATTTTGAATACTTTGCGCGTTCTACTAAAATTTACATACTCTGGCATTGGCAATTCCAGGGGAAAGTAAGGCTTGACAGGAAAGATAGTTTAAACTTAAAATAAATGTTAGTTAAAATAAATATAAACCCTACAAAACTATAAACTGAACAAAACTGGAACAACGTGAAATTTTCAAAGCTCTGAAAGAATTAGCATATCCTGGAACTCAGATTAATAAAAGAAAAATACTGAATACTAACTTATCCTCTTTTCTTACGGACTGTTGCTTTTCAGTAGAAAACCGATTGCACAACAAATGGAATGACGTATTAAATCGGCTTGAAAATTAGTTTCATACGATTTTAAGCACGAAATTTTTAAAGTTTAGAAATGAGATGCCAGTATTTATTCTACATCAGTCGAAAGTAGGATCACAATAGCAAGACTCAAATTAAATAAAACACCAATGAGTGGGAACTAACTATAAAAATAAAATACGCCGTATATAAACAGTTATTCTCATAAACAATACTCAATAATCCGTTTTACTGCTACGTTTCACTTTTATCGGAAGCAATGAAACTGACAAGATATAACGATTAAAAAGAAAATTATTTCTGCCCTATTTTAATCATTTATATTATTCTACTCTGCTACGCACGCATAAAATAAACAGGGAAAAAATTAACAGGTCATGTCACAAAGAAAATTTGTCATGTCTTTCCAAAGTAAAAATGCTACTGAACGTAAAAAAATCTCGCTAAGAGCAATAACCGTGCTACTTTTGAGAAACATTAATGCTTCATTTTCAGGGATGATGTGTTTAAGCTACCGGGCATAAATATGCAGGTGATAAAAATCACACAATGACGACGACAACAACAACAAAAGTCATAGAACTAAAAAAAGCATACATTTCAGTAAAAATCCTACTCTCAGAATCTTTCATTAACGCTAAGCTCAAAAGTGACGTTAGTCCCGAATGGGATGCTAGTCTTGAAACGGCAATTTTTGTTGAATCCAAAGTAGTTAGAATTAAGCCTTCTCCTCCTATCTCCCGTGCAATGAAATTGAAGATATGAAACGTTACGGTATGACGTCACGACTCATCATGGCCGCTGCCATAGGCAAACTTCTCGTTGGTTTAGTTTACATTCTAATTGGTCTTGTCTATAACGTCTTATTGAACGTCTAATTGGTCTTGTCTATAACGTTATTATTGAACGTCTCCCATTCTAATTTTAATACTTAAAATAACTGATCTTCTACTTAAGATAAAAAAATCTGATGTGTGCAACACGACTTCCATGTACGGAATATTAAATTATACGCAATTTTTCTTGCATTTCATTTAAACTTATTGGATTGAATTAAATCTACTTCGCCGAAAGCGCATAAAGCACAATAGAATAAATGCATTCTTTAAAATTCAATCTAGTATTTATTTACCATAGCGACACTCTGGCGCTAGATTCACTTAACAGTATTATATTTCGTTCATATTATAACTCAGAATGCACAAAATTTATATCATTTAAAGAACTATCTAATCGTTGCCACATGTTCTATTCAAATACTATAATAAAGCTAGAACGATGTATAAAAGAAATTAAGCAAACAAAACAAAAAAAGAAAAGCTTTTCACATATGATTCAGTATTTCCCATTCCATTAATTCAGTTCTCGCTTCGCGACAAGGCAAAAATATATAAAACTCAAAATATCTATATTAAAAATTGCGAAGTGAATCTTAAATACTTATTTCCTCGAAAAAATTCCAGAAAGGATTAAGCATGATTTAATTCGCAATAATAAATGAAGGCGTTATCTTTGTTGCTGCGAAGCTTAGTCTCTCTAGATTGGCAACAAATCTACTATTCTGCTGTTTCAAATGTAAACAAATATGTCCACCATGTTATTTAAAAATTAGGCTTAACCGCACTTAAACAGCTTTTAAATTATCGATAATTCTACAAATATTGCTTGCAGATTTGCTCCGGAAGATAATAACAGCATAATTCAATCATTTTTAAAGCACAAAATGCACAAATTACAAGCAAATAAGAGTAAAGAAACTGAGATCACTGAGCCACGTAACAAAGTGGATATATATATATAAATATATTTTATCAAGCAAAGCAGTAATAACAATTTGTGAAAAACCAATTTTGGTCTAGAAAACATCTTGCGCAATATGCTGCAAAATAAATAAAATATAAAAATTGTTAAATAAATAAGACCAAAATATAAGACGCTAGAAGTTAGCAGCCATTTTCAAACAAGTTTCAGAGGGACAGCTTTGCATCGCCAAAGGTCAGTTTTTTGTTTCTTTTGTTACAACTTTTTCTTGGTCTTAGCAAGACCCACTGAGTTTGTTCGTTTCTTTTCCTAATTTTTTATTTTATATTAATTACAGGTTTTCTTACAGTTTTCTAAAATCTATTATTTTATAATTAAATTGTTAATCTTTAAGCTTGCAGGCCCAGCCCGTATGTTTTTGTATTTTTTAGGACTAATAGCTCATCGCTATTTATTTTCGTTTTGATTTTAATTTTAGACTAGATTTAGGAAATTTTGATTTTGATTAACATATTTTAACACCTTAATGTGTCATTCTGAGCGGACGCGTCGGGAAATTGGAACAGAGAATTGAGACTATTAAAATTTCTAAGACACTTTGTCAAAAAATTTTTTTAGCGAAAAAGTTTCAGTTGTCTGTTTCGGCGAAACGCGTAATGGGGTTAGCTTGGTTCGACGTTCAAATAAATGAAATTTCCCTTGAAAAGCCTGTTTGGAAGTCGAATTTGGCTAATTTACCATTTTCCGCTTACTTTTTAACTTTTTCAGTTTTTTAATTTTTATTTATGTTTTACATGTCTAATGATTTGCTTTTCATGTGTATTAATTTTTGAAAACGTTTTAAACCTTTTGGAGCAGCAGCTCTTGGTAACTTTTAGGCGAGCTTTCTACAATTTTTATATAAATATATTTATATACGTTTGGTGCGGCCTATTGCACATCTACATGTTATAGTAATCCTATATACTAAATTTCAACGTTCTGAGGCTACTTGTTTTTGAGTTATGCGAGATACATACGTACGTACAGACACCACGAAAAATTCTCTTCAGAATTCATTTTAAAGCAGCTTTATAATTTTTTTGGAGGAAAAGAGTCTTTTATTCTGTCCTTACGTACAGATGTCAAGGAAAAACATTGTTAAATTGCATTCGATAGCGGTCAAAATGGATATTTTCGTTGAAATATGCTGCCTGAAGCTTTTCGCGATTACAATACTTCCTTTTTACTTCGTACAAGGAAGTAAAAAGGGAAATAACGGGAAGACTGAAGCGGCAATAACAAATTAAAATTCGAATTCTATCTAATATAATATGTACGGCCAGAAACCAAGAAATTTACGCAAATACATATGACATATTTGAATTTCCGAATTACATCTTTTAGTGCGCAAATACTTAACATTTAACAAAGGTCTTTTACCTTACCTTTCATATAACTTTTACTTCTCATTATCTTCTTGGTGATGTCCTTTTTGAGAGAAATCCACAGCATACCTCAGGAAAACACGTCTGCAAACAGGTACGGCACATTACACAACGAAACGATCAAAATCGCTCTGTCGTCTAACTACCCTCCAAAGGAAAACTCCATACCGTCCGCTTGAGCGATTTCTAGAGTTTCATCGACGGCAATTTCCATTTCCTTCGAATGGAAGACGACACTCCCGGCAGACATTATCTTCTAAATCCACAGTAGGCGTTCGTGAGTTCACATACCAACCACACTTCTCGTTTCGTTTTCAGAACTTTTTTTTTTTTTTTTTTTTTTTTGTTCGTTATATTTTTTCGTCCCAAGCAAGATTTCAAGAGCTTTGACACCTGACGACCTTCAACAATTACGTTTGGTATGCAGATGACAGCCACTCACTCCGCTTTATAAATGTGACCGCCGTTTGTGGGTTTTGTATTATGCGTGTAGGTTTTTAAAAACGCTTTACTTATTATGGTCTGAAAGCGAGCTTTTATTTATTCATTTATTTGATGAATTCTATGTTTTCATTGCTATGTTTCCCCACCAGGCCTTTCGAGATACGTCGGGGTCAATTTCCGTGTTCTTGAAACAGGTTTATGTAGTCCGATAAGGAGAATTAATTACACAAATTAAAAATACAAGTGCAGGGCATTGTAATAACTTAGAGCACGAAAAACGGGTGTAAATATTTCACTATTTAGGGACATGCTAGCTGAATATATGCAGGTAGTCATCATGTAAAAAGAGTTATTATGTAAATTTGATTATCATGCACTAATTTTAATTAGCAAAGTAAAATTACAATTGTATTGGTATTGCCCGCGTATACGTGGCCCCGCGCTGAATTAGAAAATTGGAACTTTTGTTCATCTTTTTCAACGGTTAATATAAGAAAAGCCACGATAAATTAATTGGTAAAACACTCAGTAGTGTAAATTTATTGACTGGATTGGATTATTTCAATTACAGTAAAATTCGCGAGGGTTATCTTCCTACACAGGACACCTTCGGAAGAAAGTTTTAAAATAAACTGGTTTGTATTCATGTTACTCATAGGGCAAGCCCGTTCGCCCGAGTCGAACTACCAGTGTTACCGGCCTTAGGTGGATCCGCAGATTAACTGAAAATACAGATTCGCTATTGGTTCGGGGATGGGAGTTTATAATCCAAGCGTTTAAAAAAAAATTTATTCTTAAAAAATCCTATTTTGTACCAAAATAACAGTGCAAAATTATAATATAAATTCATGGTTCATACATTCTTTGCAAAAACAAATTCGAATTGTTTGTTTCCAAGCAATTTTCCAAAAATTTCCACGGATTAGTCTGAGGATTTTTACGGTTCTAGTCACAACATTTTTGAACGAAATTTTATAAGAATTTATATAATAATTTAAATAACCTATATTCTTATAATAATATAAGATATTATAATATATATTCTTATAATAATATAGGATTTATATAACAATTAAATAACGAAATTTTATAAGGAATTACTGAATTCCACCGCAAGTGATCAGCACGCAGCTAGCAAATGAATCCTTGGCTCGAATCCTCACGGAGGTAACAGTTGAGTTTTTCATATCTCCCACACTGAAAAACTTAATAAACATATCCCTATATTAAAATATATATATATATATATCTGAAAGGTTTCAGATTTTAAATTACGTCCAAGGGGCCGCTTTTTTAACATTTTGTGTGTTACCTTTATTCATTCTTCGCTTTAAAACCATAAAATGCAGTTCAACAGCAATATCGCAAAATAATTTTAAAATCAGCATATCTTTAGAATTTCCGATACACAGTCTCGCGCGCTGAAGGTAATTTTTTTTTTTTTTTTTTTTTTTTTTTTTTTTTTTTTTCCCTTTCCGTACAGTGTTGCCATTGCCCGCTTTGAAATCGTTCATTTTTTTAATCAAAAATTCGTTGAAGTGTTACAAAATATGAAACCGATAATTCAAATTAGGGTTTCCACATGCTATATTCTACAGAAGATTACGTTATTCAAATTCTGATGGCTCTGGGCACCGTTGTTTTATCACAATGCGAGAAACATACATACTTTCATGCAGATTCTTCATTATTTACTTTCTTTAAATATAATACAGGGCGATAATACTTGGTGGCAACAATCTGAAAAGTGAACAACGCTTATCGTGAATCGACGCAAAATGCCAAAACGAAATTAATAGCCCTTCCGGGCAAATTGCCCCCTTTAAAAAAAAAAAAAAAAATTAGAGAGAGAGAGAGATTTCTATAATTTTTATGCTCAAGCAAGAATTTAGAAAAAAACATTTTTTTAATAAATAATATACCCAAATTCTAAGAATTTATGCATGCTTACTTTGGCACAGGAAAGATGAAATCTGGAATTCACTAAAAACAAACACAAAAAAACTAAAACAAACAAACATTGTGTATGCCGTATTTCACTTAACGCACCTAGAAACTGCACCTTTTATTTAAAAATATGAATTTGAATATCTGTTAAATATAAATTTGAATAAATTAACTACATGTCAGTAAAGCATACTTCAAGTGCTGACAAATGCAAATTAGCTGAAAACTTAAAGGAAGAAAAAATACTGGATCTAATTCTTATTACATTTCTTACGCTATCGAATGCACAAAATATAACCAAGAAAAGCATCAGAATGATGTCAGTCCATGTGTATGTAAATATAACATGTCTTTTATTATTAATATATTATTATTATTTCAAAATTGGAAACATCACAAAAACAGCCCAATCGATAAGATGCAAAAACGATTACATAGGATATAGCTGATACTGTATAAGATGTTAATCGACCAATCGCATTCGGGACAATAATCGCATGCATGGGAGAAAAAGATGAAATACAAGTCAAACTGAATAAAGTAAAATTATGATGAACAACTGACAAAAAATATTTATTGACAGCTGATTTCGTATTTTGCTATTATACTGTTATGAATTTTGTATAAGGTAACATGGACAGTTAAGAAAAGCGATGCTCTGCCCGAAAAATATGATCACAGAAGGAAGTCTATTTAACAGTGGCCCACCAGCGGCCGAGCGGTAACGTCGCTGAACACTGGTAGTTCGGTCCGAGGTTCGAATCCCGCGAACGGGCTGGCTGCATGGGTGTTTTCGTGGTTTTCCCCATGTGTAACGTGTATACGAGCCAGTTTCCCTTAAAAAGTCCTCCACGAAGGCATCCCTCCCTTAAGGCAGATAGCCCTCGAGTGCTGTGCCGTAATCTAATACACCAACTATTTAACAGTGAGGTAAATAGCTGTTTCGCTAAATTGGCGAGATATCGCCACGTCAGCGATAGTTTTTGGAGAATAATTTTGTCGCCAAACGCCATTTTGATTGAGTCTCTGTATAGCTGTAATTAATCTTTATATGTAACTGCAACCGCACCCGGCCCTTATGTGTAACTATAACCATATATGCCTTATAGTAACTTCGACTAGAAATTTCTCGGGGAAGAAATTATTTAAGTGTCAGTTTGAAATTATTTAAGTTGGAGACAGTGTCAGTTTTTCAGTTGAGTCTAGACTTCGGAGTAATGAGACATCTCCGTGCGAGCTTCGCTTTTTAGATGCGTTTCGCATTGCGTTGTGTTTAACGTTCTTGATAGTTTGAAGTGGTAACTACTAACTGTGCTTTGTCTCACTGAGGTGAGCTGTACTAGTAGTTTTGTGTTCCAGAACTGTAAAGTGTTACTTTTAGAAAATAAATTTTATCAAGCTATCATCAGTTCTATGTTCAAAAAATTCGTTAAAGTTTTACAAAATATGAAATAGATAATAACACAAATTCCAAATTCGGGCTTCCAGATGCCCATATTCGGGTAGAAACATACGTTATTTAAAATTGGATAGCTCTAGGTACCGTCGTTTTATCACAATGCCAGAAACACGCATACATTTGTGCAGATTCTTCATTATTTAATTTCTTGAAATATAATACAGGGCGATAATATTTGATGGCAACAATTTGAAAAGAGAATCGGACAATTATAGTAAACCTTTAGACACACACACACAAAACAAAACCAAAAAAAAACTGAAATGTTTCAGATTTTAAATTACGTCCAAAGGGGCGTTTTTTAATATTTTGTATGTTACCTTTCTTTATTAAATATCATGTTCCTCGCACTTAAACCATAAGATCCAGTGCAACAGCAATATCGCAAAATAGTTTTAAAACGAGCATATCTTTAGAATTTCCGATACAGAGACTCACGCGCTGGAGATAAAAATGTTTTTTTCTGCCAAACGTTGCCATTGCTCGCTTTGAAATCCTTGAGTTTGTTAATCAAAAATTCGTCAAAGTTTTAAAAAATAGGAAATCGATCATAAAACAAATTTCAAATTTCAAATTTGGTCTTCCACATGCTCATATTCGTTGGAGGATTACGTTATTCAAAATTCGATGACTCTATGTACCGTTGTTTTATCACAATACGAGAAATATACATACATTTATGCAGATTTTTCATTATTTAATTTCTTCAAATATAATGCAGGACTCTAACATTTTGTGGCAACAGTTTGAAAAGTGAACCGACATTTATGAGTCCGACGCAAAATGCCAAAATGAAACTAATAGTCCTTCGGGATTCAAATCCCTTTGGACTAAAAAAAGTTCAATATCTCTCGTTCTACCGACAATTTTTGAATTTCGTCAATCGAACCAGTAGAACCGACAGTTAGTGTCGGTTCGGGATTCAAATCCCTTTGGACTAAAAAAAAAAAAACCGTAATGGAACATTAAGACTATTGGTTGTTGTTCCTGAAAGATATCGAAAATAGTTGATGACTATTTGTCATGAAGAAACAGCGGCTCATCTTTGGTTCAAAAGGTAATTATTCGAAACTTTGAATTGACCTAACTGTTAAAAAAATGTTGAGAAATTTGTTAAAAAAAAAGGCACCTTTGAAATTTGTCGCCTTTTGAAATCATAGAATTATTTTCAAAAACAAATACTGGTACCTGAGAGCCTTTGGCCGTGACACTTCAGAAATTAACTATCTTCTGCAGATCTTCTAAATATGCAGATGCTTCTGTTGCAAATCTTTGTTCAACCACGACTGCCGATGTTTTCCTTCAAATTTTTAGTCAAATGGGCTTTTCAAAAAAGGTGCAGACCGATCAAGCCACATCTTTTATGAATGTGATTACATTGAATTCCCCAGAAAAGGTTAGGGGTTCTCTCCAATAGAATTAGTTCACGGCAGAAACTTAAGAACTCATATTATGCTATTGCATGAAAAATTACCTGGTACAGAAGAGGAAGAAAACAGTGTAGTAGAATATGTTTTCGAATTAGTAAATCGAATGACGAGATATGAAGAACTCACTGATCAGCATATAAATGAAGACAAAGAGAAGCAAAAATTCTGGTACTATCGCAAGGCCGTAGAAAGTAAATTTCAAAAAAGAGACTTAGCTCTAGTTGTGGCTCCTTCGAAGCCAAGCAAAACATTAGTTAAATGGAAAATTCTGTAAAAATAATTCAACAACTATCAGAGACAAATTATTTAATAAACGCTGATATTTGACCAAACAATGGGATTCTTTCAAACTGTTTGCTGCCTTTCGAATATTTTTGGAAAGGCAGGAAACTATTTAATTCATATAGCTTCGGTGAAAAGGCAACACAAGGCTTCAGTGTTATGCCGGAATTCAGTGTTTTTGACTCATTCCTGCTGCACTGCTACCATGATTTTATTACCTTCTTTGGTAATTTGGAGGATCAAAGAATCCGTAACGAATTCTTAGCTCTTCAGCAAAGACAATCAATAGTTCTTCATCAAAGATAATCAGTAAGATTATGGTGAATGGGCGAACCATGTTCTAGTTGCTACGAATCTATACACAAAGACTACTGTACTGCTGAAGCAGACCATGGCCCCTTGGGCGAACCTGATAGGATATGGTGCAAGAATAAACTACACTTTTTCTAAATATGTATTCAGAAGCGCTAGCTGACCATACATTATACTAACCATGCAGACAATAGACTTCCCAATGCCCATTTAAGTTCGTTTCATTCGCTTTTCCCGAATAATTTTCTGTCTTTTAAACGTATGGGAGGGATTACGCATATGAATAGCATTAATAATACTACTCTATAAATGTTGCAGGATGTCTACCTGCAACATTTATAAAGATTTATAAACACTAGATAAGCTACAGAACGATTTTTCAATTGCGCAAGGAAACTGAAATAACCACAATGATTATTCAACATAAATATTACTCAAATAACTTTCAGATATTTCATACAAATAAATACGAACTTAATCCAAAAAAAAAAAGAAAAAAAAATGTACATTCATGCTTGACTGTACGCAGTGGTCAACTGAATGTATTCATCAACTGACTGAAAATTCGCATATCGTCTGCGGTTCAATATCTGGCAAAAGAAAAAACTATAGAGACGATCGTAAATAGTAGTCAGTTTTCTACAAAATGTTTTCCATGCAGGCCTACATCTCAAATTAGATAGCCTTGCAGTGTTTTTTTCTGACATAAATCATTATCCGCAGCTTTTTCCCTATTTTAAATAACCACAATGGTGCCTCTAAAGAAACTAACTCAATTTGTTCCAATTACAGTAGGATCGCTTTAGGCAAAACCAAATATGAAAATAAAACACTTCACAATTTAAGAATGAAAATGGTACAATATCAATATTTCAAAGCCAGGGGGTTAAAA